TGGAAGTACCCGTTACACAACCGAAAACACGCTTTCTAACTGCCTCGTTACGGATTCGCTGACACCAACCCACACGAGCTATGGTTCTGTCGAACACCTGAAGACGTCTCAGGTCCGCTGCTCGAATAGGCCAAGTCTCACAGCCATACAACAAGACAGCCCGTACTGTAGCTTGATACACACGTCCCTTCGTAAACAGTCTAGCACGTGTTGACGAAAAATAGACTACCGGTTTCTCCATCTTTTGGCCCGTTAGCCACATAATGAATTCGTGTTATAACTCACCTGTAGAGCGAAAATTGCGAGGTTTCGGGTGTGATCTCCGCCACAGGCGTCGTTTTCATACTGTAGCCCACGAACTTGCAATGAGGTCGCCTCTTTTCTCTTCTTTGTTGTTTTTGGGCAGAACAAGATATAACCTCACCACAGCATCTAAACTAGGGAGCAACATTCGTAGGTGTTCAGCTTCTTATGGCTGAGAAGCATTAAACTGCCTGGCGGCAAAACGCCCCCCGCAAATGTGACTCGATCGACCCAAGTTAGTGGGCACTAATGTAACGTCGGTCGATTGGACGGTTGTAATCTGATCGCTTCCATTAGTCAAATGTCAGGATATCGAAGTACTGGTAACTCGGGTGCGTTTACTGGTGTTTGGTCAGATGGCCCTTGATATTTTCACCGAGTTTGGCTAGCTTGCAAACGTTTCGTCTTCATTCGAGGAGGCATCGTCAGTGTGCAGTTGCTGGGCACTTCTTCCTCTTTGTGTTTATGTGACTTTCAAAGAGTAGCTAATATCCTCTCACGTGTTTGGCTGATTAGCATATACCCTTCGTGTGATCTTACCGGTCCGTTCGCGATTTACCTTGCGTCGTGGTCTGCATATCTCGCATTCCATTAGTTTGTTGAGTGGTTCTTTTGGGAGGATTTAGGTCCGTTTTAGGACGGCCCCATCTCGGTTCGTGTTGTCTTTATCCCTTGAATTTGGCTGGTCGCTATGGCGATGCAGGGCAAATCGCGAGCGGGGCAACAAGATTACAAGAAGGGTATATACCAGTTAGTTAGTCACATGAGGAGATATTAGATACTCGTAGGAAAGTGTATAAGCATAGACAGGAGGTAGTACCCACTCAACCGCGCACTGACGATGTCTTCTGGACTGGGGAGGAAACATTTGCAAGCTAATTACCAAACTCGACGAACAGATCAACGTTCGTCTGATCAACCACCAGGAAATCTGCTGGTTCATCTCAATAGGGAATAAGGTTTGCAGACACACCACATGGAAACGTAGCCCCATATAACTTGTTATCTAATCAGATCCTGTGGTTTACGGTAAAACGGAGGTCCCTAAAAAGCATCGTCACTAACATCAGTGTTGGCACTGATGCTTCACTGCTATCCAACCCGGAAGTTTACTTGAGTATATTTAGAGCTTTAAGGTGGAAAGAAGAGAAAAGGGAAGCAGGAACCTAATGCTGACTCATCGCAAGCATTCTGAAGTGCGTGCACCTCACAGCATACAACTGGACTTAGCACGAACGCCACTGACATCGGCTAGCGCAAGCGGGACTCGCCAATGGTCTCCGTGGCGGTTTTGCTGTAGTTATTGGACACAACAACAGAATTTAATAAGATTTCGGTTGTCTTCCGTCCTCACGTTCTCTTCGTGCTCTGTTGCAACTGCGGCGATTCGTTCACACCAAAATGGTGGAGCGGGCACGTGATGGAATCAGAGTGTCGTCAGCAAGTTTGATAGGAATCAAGGATTACATGATTTCCTGTACTTATGTACCTCATCCCTCTCTTTCAGATTGAATACGAAGCTAGAAAGCGTGCAGAAGGAAAGAACTTGCGGCGTGAAAAAGATGATGTGATGCAAGACCTATTCAAAGCTTTCGAACGACATCAGTACTACACAATCCGTGACTTAATCCTGTTGACCAAGCAGCCAGTGGTGAGTTACACACAGTTTCCTTGTTCGTTGCGGTTGTCGCAATCTCGTTCCCATCGTCCTATCGTATTAAGAAATACCGGCCGAATCAATGAGATATATTGTTCATGCCGAACCAAGCGTTGAGAGACGAACCGTAAACAAGCGTGAAAAAACTGAGAATTTTGATTCAACCAAAAGAAAACAGGGTTTTGGCCGTTCAAGAAGACTCATTCCAAAACGGATTCGACATCCCGCATAGTGTTCCTCGAACGACCATTGTGTTACATTCTTGTGTTGCAAATTTACGCCTTCAGTCACTTCACCATCGGTCTTATTGTATAGCGCTTTCACCTAGTTGATTGTTCATTCCGAGACTGGGTCCTTCCATATTCGTCGTGGAGAACAGATCTGGAACACTAGTTGGATTTTAGTATACGCGAACCTCCACCTACATAAGCATAGCACGGACTGGAAAAGTCACTAAGCCACTTGGCTGTGGGCAAGTGCGTGATCCAAATCCATAGAAATTTTCAAGTGATCAATAACCGGGGTTCGGTTCTTTGTTGCGAAACGGTTTTCACTACAAAAAACAGTGTGACTAGCATACTGTCGCATCAGCGGTGGCCCCGTTCAATCCCGACGGTCACTTGGTGTGTTCCCGTATGTCTGCTTCACGCTCACGTTGACGATGGACACTTTGTTTTTTGCCTATCGCAGCATAGCGCATACGGCGCCATTAAACTTATCTTTGGGGATTTAGCGCTACAGGCACTTATACTCCAAGAAAACAGTAGACAGGCACTGAAAGGTCCCCCCGACATCTTCCCAGGCGTTGCAAAACGAACCACATAGAGGCATTCCCTCAAGTGGAGATGCCTCCACTCAGTGATTTGACACAATACCGATCCCGGTACACATAATCGAGGTGTTCTCTGTCACCAATGGTTTTATTTGCTATGATTTTCTTCTAGAAAAGGTTCTCTCGGCTTCATGGATATCCCCAACAAGCATGAGGGTCGGAAAGTTATCGAGTTCCTTTGGATTACACGAAGACGAGAGAAAGCGATCAGTTGCCCGGTACAATCGTAGTACCTACATTCTGGATTTCTGTTTATGGTACACATTACTCTGTGGATCCCTTTCCATACGTGATCAGAATTCGAATGGATTTCCGCGCTTGGAAAATTAGCTTGTACTGCGTCGAATGCGATGGCTCATGCTTCAACCACTGTTCATTCAGTATCCCCGTTCCATTTTCATCGTCACAGTATCTTTTCACTTCTCAATTTTTCGCAAATGTTTCCTGCATTCTGTTCCAGACTTACCTCACCGAGATACTGAAGGAGATCGCTATTTTCAATCCTCGTGCCCCGCACAAAAATATGTGGGAACTCAAACCAGAGTATAGGCACTATGCGCCATCAGAGTCCTCGAAAGTTGAAGAGAAGAGCTGAGATAGTTTCATCTTTTGTAACTTCATTGAATGTAATAAATAATCGTTTTCTACTTGTTAAATACTCTTCTGAACCTCACCGCACATTTCTTAAACGGTTTGATGATCACAGCAATCCTGTGAGTCTCACGTTTGGTACTTGTCAGATATCCGCCATAATCAAGTCTCAGTTGTTAGTGAAACTTGGTCGAGCCGTGAAGTTTTGCCTCAGCGTTTCTGGAACATAAGGCAGTCTTTATGCAACGCATTCAGTCGAAGAATGCAATAAACGAGTGGTTCGATTGAATCGCTCGTGGAAAATCGGGGACTACGCCTACCTGATGAGCCCCGAGAAGGACAAGGTTGGTAGTGGGTTGTCGAAGTTTCCAGTAACCTTATGAGTAGTATGTTTTGCCAAACAAACATGTATACAGGTTGTCAGGACGGGAGTCTAAAGCCAATAGGGGGACGCTATCATGTTGCTCAAACCCACGTCATCGAAACGTTAGTCCACAGTCTCAACCAGACACAAGATTGGTTCAACCGTGTCCAGCATCTGATACACGCCTTTGGGAGATTGCAGACTGCACGCCTGATGTGATTGATTTTGCATTGTAACGCCTTGATAGGTCACTGTTTTCTGACGAGAGTAACGCTAATCACAGATTCACGAGGCAATTGCATCTTATTTATCAGAATTAAGAGCAGTTGGCATCCAGAGCAGATTCGTCGGTCGACGATCGTTTCACTACTAGAACTCGTGAATATCGAAAAAAACGTACAGGCCGCTGACGTCCATGCAAACCAGAAGGAATAAGATCACTGGGTGGAGATAGGGATCTGTTGAGAGCCAACCCAAGCGATGAGCCTGAGTGAGAACAGGTGTTGCATCATGTGAATTGGAATTCGATGAAAAGAAAGCGAAACAACCATGTCGGGAATTGACCTGTATTTTCATGACTGTGATTAACTATAGTGCACACCCTAGAACAATCCAATGAAATCCACATTCAGTTTCTGCCGTTCGCTCCATGTCAAATTCGACCGAGTTGCCTTGAACTTAATGATATTTGTGGGCATACTCGTTGATCTAATTGTCTGTCTAATTATTCAAACCGACCATTCAGCATTTTGTCTGATCAATCTGTCTAATCAATCGAGCATGATATGATGAATATCGCACCATTAGAGTGCATTCGACTGGATACTATCTCGAGGTATTTCGTCCCTATCAGGATTCATCCAATAGACATAAACGGATCAAAATGTGACAGTTGGAGCCGTTTGCCTTCCATCATTCTAAGGTGTGATGGTAATATCACCTAGGTCAGTGGCGTCATTGACCAACGTTGGTAACACTTACAAACGAAAAACCTTGCTATCAGCGAATTCCGACATCCACCATGTATGGGTGAACCTTGAACCTGAGTGCACTGCGTTCGTGTGGACACGACCACAAATAGCTTACTGGATTCGAGAAATACACTCATTTGCAAATCAGTTTGGTTTTCACGAGAGACTCAACTGAATCTATCGTTTATGATATTCCACAACTGAAAGTGCTGCACACAGGCCGCCTCCTGTTTCAGTTGGCACGATATTCGAGATATCGCAGTATATTTCCATTGAAGAAACTACTCACAAGGTTGTCGAAGAGTTTTCAACAACCTTGTGAATAGTTTCCTTTATGGAGAGCTCACTGGATTGTTACAGTGCTACCCCTGATATCCAGAACTAATACTCAAATCGTTCATATTAGACTCTATTGGGTTGTGGCCACGCCGAAATTGAGTTGAGTTTTTGTGACGTCCTGGGCATATTCAAAACCGAGAGTAGAAACTTCCAACGGTGCACCGTGACATTTTTCGTGTCCTGATAGGCCGACTTCGAGATCACTCATAAAACGAAGCAAAATCAAGGAAAAATATGTTAGGTGAATACAGTTTACTTTCAGTTTAACGTCGCTCATCTGGTGGGCTTATAATGAATGATTCTGAGGCGTAATAGAACACGTAGTTGAATTTCGTACAATAAAAAAACAAGTCACTGAACTAGCGTAGTAGGGCTGTTTGAAAACTAGTCCTTGTAGAACTTCGATCAACCACACCATACTACTTACTAGGAGCAATACTTCGAATCGAACTGAACCAGACGTCTGTGTGAACAGTCAGTCGAAGAAAAAGAATGAGGTGTCGATTCAAGTCTCCTCTGTGGATACCTCGTTCGTACCAGCTGGACAAGCAGTTTTTAACCAGGGTCTTCTCGCCGTGTTCCACAAAACGGAGGGAGTGCATTATTCCCTCCGAACAAGGGTGATTCAGGGCGAGGTCTATCTGTAAGGGAGTCTCTCGAGGAAGCACTGGATAATAACAACTGCTGCAATTAATAAAGCAGTATTGCGACCCACATTGCAAAAAAACGGTAATGGGGAAGTTGAGACTACACCTTTAGGAGGCTGCCAACTGGACTCACTCCCTAATACCGTCGGAGAGTCATTCAACATTACGGCCAAAGAAACACTTAACTCCGAGGAAATCTTCCTTTAGGCGGTGAGATGATGAAACGTGTTGTTGTGTATGTATTCGGTGGCACAAAGTCTAAGGTTTTGCCTCTTCATTGCAAAACGTGGAGCACTTTCTATTCAAGGACCGTTATTTAGATTTGAAAATCGTTAGAGCCAAATTTCATTTGGTTGTATTTGGATAGTACAAGCCTCCCCCGAAGAGTCCGCCTTCAGTCGGTCCCCCAGATGTGATCCTTGGGAGGTGAAGTACGACTTCGTTATCTTGAAGAGACAAACCTCCAAAAAGATTTCAGCTGTAGCACCCTTTCAGTGCCTAACTACCATGTCATCAGAAGGAGGTACGATGGCTGGGATACTGCCAGGTTGCCCAAGCCTAGACAGGAGAAGTCGAGAGACAGAGGTCTGGTTCGAACCACGAACCTTTCGACCAGTAGATTCGCGCTCCAGCCACTCAGCTATCTTGCAAGAAAGTAAAGGATTTTTTTTCGTTAGAAAGGCCGACTGCATGACTCATCAACGGTCTTCGACATTTAACCTCTTTTAATAGAAGCCTAGCTGTTAGTACTCACAAAGGACAAACCACAAGAGTGGCCCTTACGGGGGATAGAAATCGCTGTAGTCGCGTGGCGTACGAAAGTAAGGCTAAAGGATCATGGCTGTTATGTCATTGTTCAGATATCTATTTGGTGTAAAGACGCGTCAAGGCCGGCGCACGAATTCTGCACTTTGTTCTTTGCTGGGAGGAGCTTTCGCGTCACGGGACGTTCGGAGTGACTTTTGTTGGGGTTCAAGGACTGCAGATCTCCAGGGATCAGGGTATGGTGGCCCCAATCGAATACAGCTTTCCCAAGAGACTGCTGTAATTTTTGGCTGAGTGCAACTGACAGAAAGTCGGACAGTCTGTAACTTGGCAATGAAGCATTAGGACACCAACCAATACACTCAGTCGGGTTGACAATTTCCGCCCTTTGGATTGAGACCTCGGGAGTGAATTCATCAATAGAGGAAACTGTTGGTAGCTCAGGTATCGTAGATGGTGGTCGTTGGCTTGTTCGCTGAGCTGGGCAATTTGATTGCAAACGTTTCATCACCAATCGAGGTGACATCATCAGTGCGTTATTGTGGAGCGTAGTAGTGAAGCCAACGACCACCATGAATTCATCAATGATTAATGCCACTGGCAGACATGGCTCAGTCACACACTTGGTGACTACACCACTATACAAAAGCTATCGCCTTCAATGTGCGCCCGTCCAGTTTTCCATTTTTTCAGACGACTAAAATGATGCAAAAGAGACTAACTGACTATGCCAGCTTACAAAGCTGATAAACTCAGTTGAGTTTTTTGCGACAACCCACTGAAAGCGTTCGTACTCACCTTCGTTTAACTGGGACCAACTGAGAAACGTTATTGTTCCGTTAAACTTACTGAGACTTCAGCTATACACGCAGTCATCAAAACAGTGAACAGAAGGCCTAAAGTCAGTTGGTGCGCGACTTTCCAACCAGTGAACATGTTTCAGGCATGCGCAGATTTCGCACCCACTTTACAATCCTCCTTGTGTTTACATGTGGCGTCAAGGTACGCCACAAATAATGAACCGCGAGTGGAGGACAAGGCTGAAGGAACAACAGATGAGGAGGGACCGTTATTGATAGACCCGGATTGTGAATCCCTTACTACAACCGCATATGGCGCGTATCCCAATTGAGGCGCAATAACTAAGCTGTTAGGGGATATTTTTGTGGAGGTTATTGTGTCCGAATGGGGACTCAGTGATTAGAGCACGAATTCACTGACCTGAAGGTTCGTGATCCGAACTTAGCCTTCGCATCTCAACTTCTCCTGGCTCCGCTTGGGCGGCCCGGCAATAGCCCAGCCCTCGTGCTTCCTTCGAGCAGATAGACACAGCTGAACGATTCGTTATGCCGGAATGACTCCGCCCTCAACAATAATCAGCTTTTTCTACAGCACGGTAAAACTGCACATCGCATCGCTGTCAGCAAGGCTAACCACAAGACAAACAGTGAGTCACAGTAAAAACACATGGGCTGCTCGTACAGCCGATCAGAACGGGTAAATATTTATTCAGCGGCATGATCACGTGTCTATCAGATGAGGGGTACAGTAAATCGGGTTATCACAGCTCTTATCAAACAAACAAAATGAACTCAGATAAAAGCAGTAAAATCAAATCGAACCCAGGGTGTGCGAAGCAATAGTAGTAGTTGTAATAGTGATAACGGGAAAACACGGACACTAGCAGGCCTTCATCGATAAACCCGTATTGTCACGTGGCAAGAACGGAGCCTAAAGAAAAAAATCAAAAATGCAGTTGGATGGGTGGGGGACGCTTGGACGGAATAGATGCTGGTGTCGTGGGCTTGTCCAAACAAGGAGGCCATGAGAGTCAAAGAAGAGCATGGCAACGTCTGACACAGAAGCCTAGCGGGAGTGGACTCCAAACATTCAACGCCGTCCAAGGCGGACTGATGTGGCGAACGGCGCACGTGTGCTTGGGCTACCAGATCCACCCACAATCGTGTCCAGGTGATTGGTACTCATCAACACTGGACGGGCTGGTGGTACGGTAGAATGGCTTTGCACACTGCCAGAAACTGTTGTAGTGGAAGTCTGGTCCAAATCCGGTTCATCTTGTTCAGATACAATCGAAGGCAGTACGTTGACAGGATTCCCCACAAACGGGGCGGTGGCACTGCCTGACCCGCAATTGGCTTTTCTCATTGCAATATCTCTGAGCTCCGCATCACTCAGACCTCGGATATCGACCGAGAGTAGTGAAAGCATTTCTTCGTGTATTCGCGATTCAGGAAACTCGACCTACAAGAACAAAAAAGATAATTAGGATGAGAGAATATTCAGATGTGAACCAAGGTCGCTAATCAACTAGTGGATAATTGGGTAATTCTTCGCGTGCCAGCACGACATTAATAGGGGAAACAGTACGGTGTTGAATATACTGCGCTCTCAGGAAGCATTTTGCAGAAAAACCTTGGCGAGTGGTCAGGTAACGACCAGAGCTACAGCCATACACTGGAGAGTCAGCAAGAGCTGACTGATATCCTAACCATCAGGTCGATTCAGCTGTTTGAGCGGAACAAAATCAAGCGTGGTTGTCCCACTCTAGAGAGACCAAAGGTGGCCTTTCCAATGATCAGACCTCTTAAGCGTGGGACGACCGCATATTTTACGGATAGCTTTATGGAAGAGTAGGAGGCTGATTGTTGATCGTCTTCACGAGCGCTTCGCACTCATGATAACAAGAGCTCCAGCCTTTCGCGCACTCTCAGTCTCTTCGAACTTCATCGTCATTTAATGGCTATCAGTCAGAGAAGATTCCACATGTCGCTCACTTTACCAGAAGCCGTTCCCTTCCACCTCAGTTAGTGAACAGGTTCCACAGACTTGTAAGTTCCCAGAAAAAGAAAAGTGCTTCATTGATTCGCAAGGTGTAAAACGACAGGTATTGTGGAAAGTCTAGCAGTACTCGGTTAGGCACAGCAGTTGCAGTTAGCCAACTTGATTAGGGTGCGTACAGCGGCTCGGATTAAAACAGTAGATTGCAACATATGTGAGGCCACTGCGCTGATGCAGTGGTCGGGAAGTTTCAATCATCCCATTGCTCTTCCATCTTTGTTGTATGCTTGCATTGGCTTGAAAAAGTTCAACAGCCTAATGCAGGGACTGGAGAGACAAACCGACACTGGTAAGCACCCTGTTAGATAAACCTGCCGACTCTTCAGGATGGAAGTGCAGCATGTGGCCACGTGTCTCATTAAATAAGGCCAGGTTGGTACTCGCGCTAACGACTGTTACCTAGTCCAAGCTGACAGTATACTAGCTATCACACAAGCATTAGGAAGACGGACAAATTACTGTTTCGATGTTTCGGACCAGTAAAATTTTACATCCTCCTCCATTCCCCCCAAGTGGTAATCTCCTCCGCTGCACGACAATGAAAAGCGCGAGTCTGCATTGCTAGATCATGCAGATGGGACAAGTGTCACGTGCGGGCTACGGACCATTATTCGCATTTTCGGATCATATCTTAAGATCATGCAGATTGGACAAGTGTCACGTGCGGGCTACGGACCAAACGAAGGCATGCATTGATTGGTCAGAATGTCATCCAATCAGGATCGAGCGTTTATAGTTCGGCGCTTCTTGCCCCGTCACGAAGATTATTGCGTGACCTTGTGGAAGATTCCTTGACAAACTTATAAATACGGTTGTAATGATTTCCCTCTGTCTTCATGAAGGGCTGCCTCAAGCTACCGTATCTTTTGATAAACCACAGTGGGTGGAGGAAGAGGTCAGGAGATGACACAGGCGTCGCACGACCGTCTGCAGAACACAGCAATAACTTCGCTGCAAAGTACTGACATCGAATAATGCCTGTTACTCAGCGTTAACATACACATGTTTGAGGCCCACCTTGGGATGGTATGGCATGTCTCTTTTCAGTGAGGTCAAGGAAAGAGTTATACAGGGGATTTCCGCCTCGTAATGTAAAGCGCATGCATTTATGGAACTTATAAGTACAAATTGACCTCCCTCTGTAGCTCTTCAATCACCTCAGTCATGTGCACGGAAAAATCACATGACCGGAAGAGCCCAGGCTGATCTTGAACCGTAATAATAATAATGATAATAATAGTAATAACAGTAACAATCGTAATAATCAATAATGACAGCCTTTCGGATTTGCAACAGAAAACCGGACAGCAACCATCCCAGTTTGTGGACGATAGGAATCATGCTCACCTTGATCAAACGTTTCTCTGATGAGTAATGGATTGCGATACAATCAATGCTTTTCAACCGATGTCCCCGATAATAGTAACTCCATTCGCAAATTTCATTCTGCTCGCTCTTGTCGCGTACATCTTTGACGAACAGCACCTTGTCAGGGAACATCAAGGCGTATTTCTCCAGACACTCGATATTACGCAACAGATTGTCGTGTGAGTTACTGAATGAAACAGAAAAAAAAGCAACCAAGTCTTTCTCTGAGTAGGTCGTCACAAGAGGGGACACCGGAATAAGTGTTCATATTGGTGTGAGCATGCATGAGACTAAACGACCATTCACATTGCTCTTCGGTATTAGTTGTCAACATTGAAAGTGCGAACTGATCGAGTTGTGAAACGGGAGTGACAAATCAAAATCCTACGCCAAGCTGTGTTGCATATCAAGAAGGAGGCTATCTCTATGATCGCACGCACATCCGCACAACAGCAATAATGTTGTTCAGCCTTCCGGCGCCTAGCTGCCACACCGCGTCACCTGAAGGAAGCACGAGAGTTGGGATGCCGGGCTTGAACCGCGAACCTCCTGGTCAGTGGTCCCGCACCTTAACCGCTGAGTCATCTCGATTCTGTGCATGCACATACAAAGTGAAGGCTGATCACTACCCGGAATATATTTGGTACGTAGAAAGTCATGCAAGAGAGTTTTCAGGATCGGAAATTGAACTCGTTCGTTCAGCTGTAGCACCCTTTCGGTGCCTAGTTGCCAGGCCACACGGAGGCACGAGGACTGAGATACTGCCAGGTTGCCCAAGCCTAGACAGGGGAAGTCGAGTGGCAGAGGTTGGGTTCGAACCACAGACCTTCCGGTCAGTAAGTTCGCGCTCTAACCACTTGGTCCATCTCGCCCCGGAAATTGAACTAACCGAGAACTAATCTGGGAAAGGATCAGTGATCTCTGGGAATGACACCTCTGTGCGGCTCCTGATTCAGCTGGAAGTTTATAGTACGATTTGGGAGAAAGAGTAGCAACCTNATGAAGACCAGTTCCTGACAGATAAGTAACTATCCTTTCTAGAGAGACTTTGAGTACCCTTGGTCTACCTGATTAGGGAGTTCCTCCACTTCAATCCCAATAAGATGAATACGATGTCTCCAAATGAGCCATAGAATCTACCGTGATACTATTAAACAACGAACCCCAAAAATACATATATATTACAAATGATTCCACGGGTGTTTCATTAAACCGTAGCCAATTTGTTAACTGCTGGAGGCTTGTTAGGGTACAACTGGGTGTCCACAATGTCTTGGGATCGAGGACTGCCTTAATCCGAAACAACTAGTCAGTGGTAAACGAAATACTAAAACTGTTTCAAGCGAGTTTAAAATAATCCAAGTTCGGTAGAGTGATTAAAACAGATATGCTAAGAGCTTCTGCTACCCGGCTGGACAGGACGAAAGTGATGGTGCAGAGAATGGTGGATCCATGGAACCTGATGTACCAGATCGAAACAGTTCAGCTGCAGCATGCTTTCGGTGCCTAGCTGCCATGCCACTCGAAGGAGGCTGCGATACTGCCAGGTTTCCCAAGCCTAGACAGGGGAAGTCGAGAGGCAGAGGCTGGAATCGAACCACGCTCAAGCCACTCAGCCATCTCTCATGTAAAAGGTAAGAACTGAAGGAGTACACTACCACAAACACGTTATCGATCCATTCTAAAGTTCGAGACGCGCTGTTCCAGCTGCTTGAAGAGCAGAGACCAAACCCGCGTGCTTGAAATGGAAAACCCTTAGATTCTTTCACGTTTTCAACATCTGTAGCCTCTTATATCGGGTTGTCCGCTTTCTGTAGAATGTTACTAGCCAATGGATCACAGCCTTGGATCTTAAGTGGATCGAGCATTTCTGTTCTTGTGGTAAGTTTCGGATGATCATTCAACGAAGTTGAAAAAACATTGGTTGATGTTCTCCAATTTCTGAAATCCTATTGAGTCTTCATTGATTATGGGTGAACGAATGAAGGGTGGGAAACTTTGATTCAACAGTAGTGAATGTAGTAACCACAGAGGTATTAGTTTGACTCCTGTTGTGACAAGGCTTCTGGTGTCACTGATCCTTTGGCGTCTTACGATGGTACGTGAAACCCTGACTCTCACGAGTCAGGGTAGAGGCTGCGTTGACCATATCTTCACACTCCGTCAGGTGTTAGAGCGACGCACATGTACAGACACCACAATCTTGGTGTTCCTTGACTTCAAGTGTGCGTTCAATTCTGTCGATCGGTCAGTGCTGTTAACTACACTTGCTCAACAGGGTATGTCACAGAAGTTTATGAACATAATCCGATCTGAATATTCACATACTTCTGGGGGTGCGAGAGTGAACAGACTGACGGTCGTCATATCACCTTTCGGTTTGCGCCCAACACTATCCGAGTGCAAAGACATGCTTCGGAATGTAGTCTCTGAACATAACCCTTACAATTCGAGGAAAATCGCTGAAGTTTGAGGAAAATTTTCCCTCACCTCGGTAGTTGTATTAGCTCTGACGGGAATGTGTCCGACGAATTCCATGCAAGAATCTCAAAGATTCGATTGATGTTTGCTAATTTGCGTCACTTGTAGCGTCAAAAAGACATTCCATTAAATCTTAAGGAATGCGTGTACCAGGCTACTGTAACGGCTGTGTCGTTGTATGGGTGCGGGCAGATGATGTGAGGCGTCTTCAGGTTTTCGACCACCGATGCCTCAGAAGCGTGGCTGGTTGTGGATGGCGTCAGCGTGTCAGTAACAAGGCGATTAGAAAACGGGTTTTGGTTGTGCTGCAGGTACTTCCATCAGGGAAAACATCCAGCATCATCAAAGACGATGGCTCGGTCATGTGCTACGCATGCCGAAACACCATCTACCGAGACGAGTGTTGTTCTGCGTGCCTCCTTCAGGATGACGCAAACCGCGAGGCGGACACCGCATGACTTGGCAGAAGGGCGTGAAAGAGATCACGAAGAGTTTGGGTGTTGTTGGTGTAGTACGCCTTCCAGGATGCGGTCCCCGTGACGCCGTCTGTGCTTGTCTGGAGACGTTGCAAGAAACGGCGGCTAATCGAGGGCATTGGCGCTCGTGCTGTCAGTTTCTTTCCAGATTGTCTGATTGGGCGGTTGGAGGTATAGGTATCTCAGAATGCTTGACGTAGACCAGCACTAGGTCCCCTTCTTCACCCATTCTTTCTCTTCTTTTCAATCCAGGACTTTAAATATAATAGACAGTATCCCAGCCCTCGTGCTTCCTTCTGGTGACATGGCAACTAAGCACCGACAGGGTGTTAGATCTGAACGATTTTATATTTGTTGGGGATAATCCGCACAGCTCACCTCACGAAGCTCAGAGTTTCGAACACGTGACATTCCGGCCAATGGTTAACTGTTCGGCCATGAGCGACTGAACAGCAGTGTGATTAGCTATCACTTGGGCAGAATGTATATGTTGGATTTGACGGACAATGCTTTTGGGACATTGACAGTGGTAGTGAGACGCGATCTATTGCGTGAACAAGGAACGGCTCGATTTCATAATAAGCCGTTCACATCGTGGCTATCAGACGACATAGTCGTTTAAGTTGCCCCATTGCATCGGTGGATTACAGATCACGTCAAGTTTTGGGACAGTACCGACACATCCCAATTTAGAGGTCTGCGTAGTGAATTTCTCAGTGAATACCTCGGAATATTGATTAGGCTCAACGGTATGTCTAAGGATACTGAGCTCAACCAGGAGTGTGCCAAAATTATCGAGCTCGGTATTAAAACGCTTTGTTCGAGCAATGCTTACATCGCATCCACACGAGGCTAGTGATGTGCAAGCATTGCCCTGTCCGTGTGTGCTAGCAAAGTGCTAACTTTTGAATGGTTTTATAGGTCCTATGTTGTGTCAGAATATCAGGAAACGGAAGGTTTCCGTTTGTTTCATCTCCCAAACTGAGATCAAGGTTGACTTGTAGAGATTTCAGTGGCTCCGTAGTGTTTTGCGCCTCCTCTAGAAAACTAGAAAGTTGCCGGCGTAGCTTTACAATAAGTAAGTGGGCGAATCATAGTTTCAACCCTGTTTAGGGCTCATCATGAATACGTCAACTGACCCAAAGGACCTCGCATTGAAACTCCATCGGTTTGAATACAACAAGTGCCTTAAAAGTTAAAGGGGGGATCGCTGAACACAATAAAACCAGCCGTTTGAATTAAGTAGTATACCCAGATGCAAAGACGTTGGATTCACATAACCACAAATAAAGTCGAACATTTTGTGGAATGATACAGTTCAACCTGGCTGTCATGCACCCGAAGGAAGCACGACAGCTGAGATACTGCCAGCCTGCCCAAACCTAGACTGGAGTAGTCGAGATGCCGGGGTTGGATTCGAACCACGGACGTTCCGGTCACTACGTTTGCGCCTTAATTACTATGTTATGTCGAGCTTAGGATTGTTCATAGTTGTAGGCACCTTAATCTTGTTTTTCCCCTGGACTTCATCGCACTAAGTCCATTCCTCTCCATGTTTTTTCCTCTGTTTACTATGACTTCATTCCCGCTACAACAGACCGTATTATGTGGAAAAACTTGAAACTGGAGGTTTGCAAATCAGAACCCCAATGTTTCATAATTCCCCGAAATGGGTGTGATCCCAGAAGAAGTAGACAATCAAACTTTACAACCACATAAATGCATGAATGTGGGCTTACCTGGTGTAGGAGAAAACATTGTTGTATCGGTTCATTGTTAATTTTACAACCGGCTGAAATGTGGGGGAGGGGAAGTAACAGAATGAGAGTACGTATTCGGAAAAGTTTGGTAAAAATCGGTAGATTTATTGCTGGGCAACGTTTCGCTTTTGACCAAAAAGTTTCCTCAGGCCAAGTGACTAGGTTACGAGGTTGGTCCAGATTTAAGGCGGAAGGATAACGGAAAGGAGTACGTGTTTTTAGAGGTCGAATCCTAAGCTGATGAAATGAGGGTGGCCGTGGACAGTTTTTTTATTAGGCCGTATGCTTACCACCACTGCTGCTGGAAGTCACTCACACCAAGGCGAAAGTGCTTACTACTACTGCTGGAAGTCACTCACACCAAGGCGAAACTCGCTGACTAGCAAGGACAATGAACAATGTGCTTTAGTTCGCTGATTAAAAGTGCTGGACAAGATGGCAAAACGACCGATCCATCCCAGTATCACGTTAACACTCTCTCAATTGACAACTGGAGTTTTGTTTCCACGCATTAAGGTGATTAAGTCGTAATGAGAACTGAAGCGACTGGAATCAACTGATATGTCTTCGTTTCCTATCCACAGTCGATACAGCTTCCTAGTGTACCACCATTGCTAGATGAAGTAGAAGTTAAGACGGCAACCGTCTAAATGACGATATTGACGCTATCCGGTGCGAATCTGTACAGTACCAATGAATCACACGGTTACGACTGCAATTTTTTTGACGTCAGTGTTGGTGGTCAAATTGGACGTAATTCACTGGCCCCAAGCGTGTCTTCGTAGTGTCAGCGCTTAGATTCACTGGTCGACACATCCGTCCGGGCAGAAGCACTGGTGTGTGCGGTTTCGTGGCTCGTGCTACTCTTTTTAGTGTGAGCAGATGAGCCTTTGTTGATAGGGGGGCTGAGCATAGAGTCTAGTCCATTATTCTTTTCCAAATAGGACCTATTGCACCGTATTACGTCGTCCACTTGACCTTGGGTGGTTGACTTGGATCAGCTGATTCACAAGCTACTTCACCTGTGGGGGGCGAGATGGCCCAAGTAGGCAGAGCGCGAATTTACTGACCGGAAGGTTCGTGGTTCGAGCCCGACCTCCGCCTCTCGACTTCCCCTGTCTAGGCTTGGGCAACTTGGCAGTATCCCAGCCCTCGTGCAGCCTCCGGGTGGCATGGCAGTTAGGCACCGAAAGGGTGCTACAGCTGAACAATTCAATTTTTTACTTCACCTGTATAGCTCAGTGTGAGTGGCCATTTGTGGTGTGTGTTCTGACCAGTATCGTCTAACTGCACCGTGTACCGCGTATATACGATCAACCTACCATAAACAATCTAGGTCGCTGCGTTTCTAAGCCCTCAGTCGAAACTGAAATCCTCACCGCCAACATCACTGTTGCTTCAGTGTCTTGATAAGGACCACACAAGTGCAGGACATATCTGACGTCTGTAGCCTTTTTAGTATTAGACGAGGTAATATCGGCGCATAGGTTGGGGGTAGAGGTTGCTGGTCTAAAAAGAGCATTGGAATGGATGTTACACGGACCAAAAGTAGATATTTGCTCTGGCTATATTTTCCCCTGAAGTTCGTTCCTCATTCTAATCTGGCACATGCAGGCGGCTACACACGAAAAGGGTCCAACCAAACGCCCGATCAGTGAGTCTGTCCAGCACTGTCCACTTCTACCCTAATCAATAATAATGATTATTGTTGGAACTACAGCTGGCCGGACCGACAGTCAGTCTGGAGCTCAACAACCTGACCAAACAAAAGGTTATTTAGCAAAATACACCAAATCGATTCGGTCTTGCGAGAGACTACCAGGAACCCAGCTAAATCACTCGTTTATGATGTCCTTAAGTAACTAAATGTGCTGCACCAGACCGCCTCATGTTTCAGTTGGTACGATATTCGACATATTGCGATGCATGTATAGACGTAAAACACCACTCATAAGGCTGCTGAAAACTCTTCGACAGCCCACGACAGGTTTTGCCCTTCTTGGGGCTCATCAGGCAGGCGCAGTCCCCAGGTTTCCGTCAACTTTACGTTCCACTTGGTTATCTCGTGCAACAAGAAGCAAACGTACCTTTTTGGTCGATGAAAGCAGAGACTTCGCCGCATTCGGACACTTCACAATAACTATTGTGGCACGGTTTTGGATGTCTTCATCAGCTACCATGCGAGCAAGTGCGTCTTCACAGGCTTGCCGTAGACCATCCACGCAAAAGTACCTGGCCTCAGCAAGAAGCTCTTCCATATCACGACGGGTCTCCGGTAGTGGTACACTTCCATCGCGCATGTAGTTCAGTATGGTGCCAAAATGCTTGCCACTTCTGTCAATGAGTACCCAACCTGAGGGGTTATAAAGTGATATGTCACTCAAGAGAGTTACAATCATTGTCAAGAATTCTTTGGTTCTCTGAAGCTCACATAAAGTGATCAGCATATGAGTGTGAAGAAAAGTAAATATGATAGACACAAAATAGTCTGTCGCTAGCTGGACGCATTATCATTTGAAAACAGTGACCACTGGACCATCAAACCCAAAGGTTTGTTTGGATGTAAAAAAATAGTTCAGCTGTAGCACCCTCCCATTGCTTAACTGCCATGCCACCAGAGGGAATCACGAGGGCTGGGATACTGCCAGGTTGCCCAAGCCTAGACAGGGGAAGTCGAGAGGCGGGGGTCGGGTTCGAACCACAGACCTTCCGGTCAGTAAATTCGCGCTCTAACCACTAGGACTATCTCGACCCCTGTTTGGATAGAGAACATAAAGTGCACCAGTAAGGAAAAAAGTTCTCGAGGCTAAAAAGCGTTGCAGTTCTAGATATCGAACGCCTCTAATGATAGTTTCCAGATGAAGTTGAGCTGCCCGCCCGGATGGAAGGGACTTTTCGTGAATACGCCAAACTCAAGATTCTGATCAGAAATGAAATAGCCTGTTTTCGATAGATACTCTCATTTGCGTACGAATTTGGTTTTGACAACAGACTCAATTAAATCCACTTGAATCTCTCGTTTATGATGCCCGGACTATCACAAAATGAGAGATTCAGTTGAGTTTTCTGTCAAAACCAAGTTCTTGTGCCAATGAGAGTGTTAGTAAACGGATAGTTGTTCGTTTTGTGTGAGAAACACCATCAAGCTCTTCCTCTTTTCATTTTTCCTACTCCTAATCAGTCTGGAACACAAACTCGTGCCACCATTATGGTTATGAGCCATTTTGATTTCATAAGCTGCGAAACGAGGCTGTGAAACTTTACTGAGGCCATCCGATGATCCTGAGATGTACTGCTTGTATGCAGGCGATGTTCCAAGATATGCTGTCTATCATTTTAGGCCGTGTGAGTCAATTAGAGCATAGCAAGCAATTCACCGCTGTTCGTGTGAGGGACATTGATGTCATGCTGTCAACGATGACGTGTGAAGAATGAAGACGATTTTCACCCGGAAGGAACCCTAAATAGGCATTAGAAGCATTTCCGCGGAATTGCAGTTAGTCAGGCACTCTTGGTCTGACCTCTGCCTCTCGACCTCCCCTGTCTAGGCTAGGGAAACCTGGCAGTATCCCAGCACTCATGCTTCATTCTGGTGGCACGGCAGTTGGGCACCGAAAGAGGGATACAGCTGAACGACTTTTTTAGATTGATCGATGTGGCCAGGTGAAGAGGCTAACCCTAACCTCTTCTTTCCCGTTCTGGCCACATAAGTGGAAACTAGTTGGAAAATGGAAGGCTAGTCTAGAACAGGTTCCTAACCCTGAGGGAGACAATAAGCTACATTGCCATCGTTGTGCGACGGCGACTATGAGCTCTGTGTTGTGGTTGAGTTCGAATCCGTCGACAACAAGCATGGAACGACGCAGTGACGGTGAATGGTTGTTCGCAGGGTTTATGTCTGATCAACTGAATGTCATTTTGAATATCTTCACCTGCCACATTTTATGTTCGAACGCTTGAACTCATTACAACGAGCGTTCCGCAAGGAACACATGGAAAGCTGGACTGCTGGAAAGCGGGTCACCCCGAAAGCAAACACCAACCGACTTGGTTCAATCGGGAACAAAGAATGTTGTTCTGTTGGAGTATCATTACTACTGTTACGATTATTAATTGCATCAAATAGAGTGACTCTGATTTCCACGAATCCTGTCTCAATTCATTGACTGCATCCAGATTTTCGGAACTCCGATAGGAACTGATTTTCGCCAAGAAAAACAGATTGATATGGGTTTTGTCGTATCGTTTATGGCATGCTAAACTGATAACTTTGTAGGGTTCCGTGATATGAAAAGTTGGTGTTAGAGAGGAATGACTGGATCCTCGACCATCACCATGTCAGTAACCAACTCACTACGCGAATAAGATTCCAAACGCCTTACATTGTTCAGGAAAGAAGGAAACGAAAGGAATGAAGAGAAGCAATAGGTTCTACTTTTCAACAACATAGTTAACTCCAATATATCGAGATAACTCGGTGATCAGGGTGCGAACTACTGACCAGAAGGTATGTGGTTCGAAACCAACCCCGAAATCTCAACTGCTTCCGTCTAGGCTTGGGCAACCTGACAGTAGCTTAGCCCTCATGTTTCCTCTGGGTAGCGTGGCGATTAGGCACCGAAAGTTTGCTACAGTTGAACGAACGAGCAAACTGGGAATACTAAGTCGCCAGGCCATATAATCAGGCGTGCAAAAGGGAAAGCGAGATAAAATCGTGCGGCAAGACTATAGAAGGCATAGATTTCATTTGTTGCCGTTTCGGTGCACCTCGAAGGATACATGTGGCCTGAGGCACCGTTAGGTATCCGAAGGACGGGCTAGAGTAACGGAAAACTGAGATCGGACTCCAACCACGAATCAATAGCTCACATGTTCATCGCCATGCTGTTTCCAGCTCAACGTAATCTATACGAGGCATGCGAGCAAAGTCCTGGTTAAGACAATATCAATCCCAACAGAAACATAAAAACGCTCCAAGAAGTTATAGACGTGCTAGCCGAAATGCGGTCGAAAATCAGTCTCACCTTCATCGTCCGTTTTCACCTCCATTCTGCCGCTAAACATAGCGTTTAGCATTGTGTTGCCGCGTAGCAAAGTGCCGATTGTCGTGTAGAACAAAGTGCCACCAACGTTCAATTTGACATAACTGTTAACACGATCACCACAATCCTCGGTCGTCATTGTTGGGATTTTATAGATCTGTGGTTAACCACGGAAGCCATAGAAGCTGCAACCAATAACAAAAAAGAAAGGGGTGAACTATGGAAACATGGCTATATGAAGAAATGGTCAGCGGTTTTACCCTTCCCGTGCTTCGTTGAAAAACAATCACAAGAAGCAAGAGGGGTAAACTCAATAAAGGAACGTCGGTGCTCTCAAACCGCTTGTCATGAAGAGACTGGATCCAACAGTCACTGAGCTGAATTGGGGAGTATGTATGAAATACCGAATCGTCTAGATTTGGGGTTGGAACACGTGTGATGACTTGTTCTTTAAAAATACAAACTGCTCAGTGGTTAGGTTTTCAAGTCAAATCCTTTAGTCGATGTCGTTTAGACCTGGTCGCATGGCAATAGCCACACACACTTACAACCAAAAACAAATTCATGCCACACAAGCCGTCGGGTGACGCCATCAGCTGGGTTACCTTATTTACCGCACACAAAAGGGCGGTTTAGTGAAAACAACCTATCATCGATGCTTCATTCCTTTCACATATTCGGTCTTCTTCTCTGATGCTAGCGAAAAATTTTTTAGGTCCATCATTAGGCGCTAGCGGACCAACCCGCCGTCCATTGCTGCTAGCCATAAGATTTATGCCGAACTCGATAGCCATAACCATGAGTAGCGAATATACACTCATTTGCAAACTAATTTGTTTTTTTCGAGAGACTCACCTGGAACCCGGCTGAATCTCTCGTTTGTGACGTCGCTTGGAAGCTGCGACAAATTCGGAAATAAGGGATTCGCTTTCCTCCCCCAAATCTCACCAAGCTGCGGGTCCTGACGAACTAAACCCCGCTCCGTTTAAAGATTGATTTGAAACCCTCAGTTGATGCCTGTCTACCTTATTTGCCAAGAGACAGTTTCAACCAACTGAGATGAGTCGACGTTGGTGTCCATTTTTAGAAAGGGCGTTCGTTAAGTGTGGCAATTCCAGAATACCGTTGGAACGACACTCTATCAGTCAATTGTTTCAGGTCGTCTTGCGCGCCCGGCGTCTGCATCTTGACTTCGCCCGTCTAGGTTTGGGTAGCCCGGCAACCCTCGTGTTTCCTTCGCTTGGAATGACAACTAGGCACGGAAACGGTGTTACAGCTGAACGATTATCCTTTTTAGTTTTAATCTACGGTGTGAGCTGTATCTTTATACGGCTGCAGAACCTGACAATTTAATGCGGGAGATATGGGATATTTTCATGCCTTTGACAACCGACATTTCGGAAGTATAGCTGGAACCGGTGGACACCAACGAATTCGCAATGAGATGATCAGGAGACGGGTTTGTGATGAAGCAGACGGTGCTTCCTTGAAAGGATGCATCCAGAACTGTAGACCAAGTTGGCTGTTCCGCATGCCGACCTATCGCCGAGACGGGTGCTGTTTTCCATGCTTGATACGGAGCGGTGCAAATCTAGAGGTGGAGCGAATTTGACATGGCAGAAGGGTTTTTTGCCTTCCAGGATGAGGCCCATATCACTTTCCTTGTACCTAGCTAGGGATACTGAATGACTCGGCAGACAGCTGATGTCAGTAGCGTTCATGGGGCGAGATAGCTCAAGTGGTTAGAGGGCGAATTTACTGACCGGAAGGTCCGTGGTTCGAACCCCACCTCAGCCTCTCGACTTCCCCTGTCTAGGCTTGGGCAACCTGGTAGTATCCTAGCCCTCGTGCTTCCCTCAGGTGGCATGGCAGCTAGGCACCGGAAGGGTGTTACAGCTGAACGATTTTTTTTCATGCTGTCGGTCTGTATCCAAATTGTCTGAGTGTTGAGGTATAGGCGCCTTGTGGTAGGTCTTCCTCCCTCTACCCACTTTTCTTGTTTCTGTTATGAGGCTTTATTGAAATAAACCGACATGGTTATGCTGCAATGGAGCACCAATATTCTCCGCTTGCATTTCTATCATTAAAGATGATGTTTCTCATACACGCCATCATTCTTGTGTACCTCGGCTCCGACCCATAGCTCCCAACAAAAATGAAAAGTCCGAATATGCTCAATCACTCGTTCAAAAAAAGCAGTACTCTGTCAGGTTTGTCAACAGACTTCCCTATCATCTATGAAGCTCGACGTGCATTGCATATATGAAAAATGCCTTCCAACCTCACCACGACAGTGTATCCCCGAAAAGCTTAAACGAACCATTAAGATTCACGCCATACCCCTAGGGTATCCAGTGAAGGTGTGACTGAGTGGTATCCGGGGTGTGTAGGACTCACTCTGGGATCTAAAATTAAATATGCTGTTGGATTGGGTTGCTGTGAACAGCAGATTGCTATGCGACTATTCGGAACCACTAAGGCCTACTAAAAATCCGCCAAAAGTAGGTGATTTGTTCTTGACCTAAGGCTATGACCCAACGAACCGCATTAAGAACGTTGCCGAATCCGAATTTCATAGCGATATTTCGATACGAAAACTACAGCACTCCAGACAAAAGATCTGAATACGGTTGGTAAATCTTCAGACTACCGCAACCAGTCATTCAGTGTTCCTGTTCGAAAGTCCAATTACGACGGACCTGTCGAAAGATATCCAAGTGCCGTTGCCTTATCGAAGGAAAGAACACCCTCATCAGGGTGACAATCTGAGGCTACACGAAGTTAAAAAGGTGAATGAACAAGAGTCCAAGTAAACACCGTGAGATATGGTTAGCGAGAAAAGCTTAGAAGATGGGATAGGCTTTTGCCATCGAAAATAGCCGAGCCCTACTTCGGGTCTTTAGAAAAACCCGCTTAAAGATGCTTATGGCAGGCGAATTCATCGGCTACCTCTTCATAAAGCCTCCGTTTCATTATCACCATCATCGGCAGCTTGACATCAGTATTCAACATCGATGCTTCACTGCCGTGCAACCATGAGTCATGGTTGTACGTGGTCTGGCCCGACCTAAAGCTGCCACCTTGACGTGGTGGTCGGGCTTCAGTGCTGCAATGATCCCGCGGGCTACAGTGGCTGGAACTTCGTTCCACAAGGTGCAACCATGCCAGGAAGGTCAAAGGGGAGCAGCCAGACCAAGAGCAGCGAGACCCCGTACTACGAGTAATCGTGGTACGAGGCGGTCTGGGGGTAAAGTCGTACTGTCCTCTGCGACAGGAGTGTGAAGGCAGTAAGTGTTTCCCTCAGGATACCAGCATGTCCATATTTATGGAAGCAGCGATGCTGCCTTCCCCCGAGGAAGGACGGGTTAGAAAAGGTCGGCCCCAAAAACCGCACACTCCGATCGCCCAACGGTTGACCGTGACCGCCGGCGCATTATCCGCATCGAAAGGGTGCTACAGCTGAACGATTATTATTATTATTTTTATTATTATTATTATTATCATTATTTCTTACACACGACCCTTAAGACCCAGTGAGATGCCTTTTTGATGCCACAAGCGACGCAAATTAGCAAACGTGATTCGAGGCTTAAGGATTTTCGAACTGAATTCATCAGACACATTTCCGTCAGACCTAATACAACAACCGAGGTAAGGAAAAATTTTCCTCAGCCTCCAGCGATTCTCTTTGAACTGTAAGGGGTATGTTCGGAGACTACATTCTGAAGCATGGCTTTGCATCCGCATAGTGTTGGGCGCGAACCGCAAGATGGTATGACGATGGTCAGTCTGTTCACTCTTACACCCCTAGAAGTATTTGAATATAGGGATCGGATTATATTTGCAAACCTCTGAAGCATATCCTGTTGAGTAATTGTAGTTAACAGCACTGATCGACAGAATCGAGCGCACAGTTGAAGTCAAGGAATACCAGGATTGTGGGTCGTCTGTACGTCTGGCGTTGCTCTAACACCTGATGGAGTGTGTAAATGAGGTCAACGCAGCCTCTACCCGGTCGAAATCCCGCTTAATTCTCACGAGTCATGGTTTCGCGTGCCACCGTAAGATGACGCCAGAAGCCTTGTCACAACAGGCGTCAAACTAACACCTTCGTGGTTGCTACATTCACTGCGATTACCCTTTTTGAAAATGGGCACCACTATCGATTCACCCCAGTTATCTGGGGCGGTCTCCTTCTCCCAGATAGACCCAAATAGGCTAGACAAGCACTGGCTGAGGGATCCACTGCCATTCTTGAAAAATGCATGTGGAAGGTCGTCAGGACCAGCAGCACGATGACGCTTATGTAGAGAAATATACTCGGACAGTTTTGAGGCTGAAGGTGGCTCCATATTCACGGTCCGCCTCTCTGTTGAAGGCCAGGATTCTGGATTGGAGGTAGCAGGTGGCCAGCTGAGTTGCTGTTCAAAGTACTGTGCCCAGCGTCCCAAACGTTCTGCATATCAGGGAGCCAATTTGGTCTCTAATTTCGCTGACAACAGACTTCCGAGGACCAGCCGAACGAATCAAGTGGAACAGCTTACGAACGTTTCCAGAATTCTTTGCAACTTCCATTTCTTCTGCCTTTGGGGTCCACCAAGCATCTCGGTCTGTGCGGACACTCAGTTTCACCTGGCGTCGGATGGTGCGTCGGGTGGAGTCGTGGTGGCGGCCAGGAGGAACCTGCCACCGAGTCTCCAGCAAAGACACGGTTCTATCAGGGATCCAATACTTGGATGAAGTTAGTTGGTTTGTACCGCAAACAGACGTTTCAGCTTTGAGTAGCGCTTTGGATATCTTTTCCCAGTGGCCGTTTATATCCGACACCGTACTGTCCGTTCGAGGAGCTGGTTCTGATAATTTTGTTTGACTTCTGGGTCCACCCGACCAACTCATCCGACCAGTGGCCGGAGATCCTCACTGATATAGCAGAATCGCGAAGCCAATTGTACTCTTGCATCCAGTCAGTCAGCCACTCTCCCTAAACTTCGATTCTTTCCCTTTACCTTCGGTGGCCTACCATCGTTTGTTTCATCTTTTCAAGAGCTGAGTGAAGCGGCGACCAAAGCGCCGTGCTCATACACGAGGCTTACAGTTGTAAAACAGAACGAAACTAATGGCCGGGAAGTTAGTGAGCCTGTCACCATTCTCACACCAAACCAGCCACATGCATCACGAAAACAATTATCTTGCCCGCCAAGTCTGATGTGGACGTCGAAGCATGCACGGTAACTGTCGTGAGGCTTAGAAGCGGATTACACTTCCCAGCCATAAAATAAGTCATTGGAACAATACCAATGCCAGGTACAACAAGGGCGAACTGAACTGTTGTGGATGAACTATCCTCAGACAGAACAGAAGCTTTATGGCCATCTCGTTACAGGCTAAGACCCACAGCGGGTGCTGTCTGTTGTGAGATCAGTTTGCTCTCCTTTCTACCCTTTGTAGGATTTCCACCGTTAGAAGTCCCAGCGCTGATGATGGAATCAGGACTAAGAAGACCGGTTGATTTTCATCCATCAATACCAGAGAGAAAATATCACTATTACCACAACTCTTTGGCTCGTCATTTTTTTACCTGTGAGGAGTTCATGAAAGGCTCCGTAGGATTTTAATAGTGAATAGGACGTTAATTTGGTTTAGATGCTCTGCGACAGCGTTTTTAAGTGCTTGTTCCAGTCGCACTCCGCCTCTGTGTAAGGTGTAACGTTTTTTTAAGTATGATTCCCGGCGACTTACACGGTCTCCACATGCATGTGATGAGAGTGTTGTTGACACAATGCAGTGATACCTACCGCGCCATTCGCGACTATACAGTCGAAAATGAGGTATTTATCGTGCAGGTCGGATTTGCATGTGACGAACTAACAAGAAATTGTCTGAGGTTGTGGTAATAGCATCAGCCCCGGAGAGACTTGCAGTCACGCCACTCAGATAGATTAAAGAAGCCCTATAGGAAGATTACTACTTATTAAGTTCCATCACGGCTTTTTTGTATGCGGACGAATAAACCACCACCTAAAACGGTCGAAGTTCCATGTGAATGAAAAAGCCAGTATACAAGAGCATACCGGGCCTCGAAAGAATTGCATATGCCATATTTATCTTGTCTCTAGTTGTTTTCCACTCACACAACTAACTGGTAACCGGAGGCGGGAAGCATACCAGGCTGTAATTCCAATGCCCCAGGGGCAGGCTGCTGGCAAGCATCCAGGATCACTACACCAGGCCGTAATTCCAATGCCCCAGCGGCAGGCTGCTGGCAAGCATCCAGGATCATACAAATTGGATGAATCTGTGGCGAGCCGGCCAAGAACCTGAACAGTTCGGGACATGATTGGTCAATAGGTTCGGTTCTTCTCAGCTCAGCTGCCAGGAGGTCAGGGTAGGGAGTCAAGTTTCTTATACACTTAAGCTCCGAGAATGTTCGTATGGTGCAACAAAAGAGTGGCTTATGTGAAAGAGATATATATTTATTTTTGTGCGACTGGACATCGTTGGCGTACTTTCGAGTCCAAACAGGGCATAATCGTCTTCCCGGGGATAAACACTCTATTCATGACATGAAGCAGTCCTTTGTTGGCCCATGCAGTTACCACATAGAAAAAGCATATAAATATGTCAGAAAAAGACGATTGACAAGAATTCTGTTTGGACGCGGGGATACCACTGAGTCACGGTAATGCTAAAAACAATGATACAATTAAAAAGGATATAGAAATGCAGCAACACGGATTCACGGACTGATACACAGGATCGAGGCTTTTGCCCAAGTTTCCCGGGTCAGTTTTGTTCTTGTCGGCCAGTGGCTGTCGTTCACCTGAAAGGCACGAGTGAAAAAAAGGGTGTGGCACTGCTATTTGTGTTCTCAGCGCGGGTAGTATGCTTGCCAGCGCGATTATTCGCATAAATAAATGTCTAATAGTGCTTTAAACTGGGTTCTAGAAGGAGCGTGGACAACCGTCGGAGGAAGGTCATTCCACGCAGCTACTACCCGAAATGAGAAAAAATTTTGTCCCACCATCAATAAAGGGAATCAGAGTCATTGTCTGTTTGACATGAATCCGGACTCAGATCCCGCACGCTCATTCGAGGAACGTTCATGGAGCATGGGTTTCAGGTTCTCGCTCAGCGCTAAAATAACTGACCTGCGTTCACTCCTCAGAAAGCTTGTTCCAACGACGAACCTGATGACGAATCAACTCTATTTCGCAAATGTGCTCCCTTCCTTTGTAGTTTCAGAGCGTTGGCCTTTGGTGATATCTCGAGAATCCTTCCTGGCAAACCTCTAATTCCAAAGTGGTGTAGGTAGTTCGTTATCCTGAAAGAGCGCACAGAGACATGTCGAAGCCCTCTGCTGTCCAGCGACGACCGACTGAGTTAGCCTAACTTGGTATCGTGGACTTGATGACTCGAACTTAAGAAGACTACACAAAACGCTGATGCAAAATCTAGATGGCATATCTCTTTCTTGAAATATGTAATCAAAAACTGAACGGCACATTCCACGTGTGGCCTAGGCAGAGGTTGGTAGGAGGGAGGAAGAACCCCAGGTTTATAACTGGACACTAAAATTTCACATCTCATTGAATCTCCAGACAGTTTCTACCTGTCAGCTGCCGGGCAAGAAATCATCGGTAACATTAACGACATGATCTAGTATCACCCAACCTTTCTCACGGTTTACACATTCGTACTGGAATACCAAAAGTCGCACGTTCACCTCTACCTTAGATCTGGCAATTTACCACGCTGCAAGGTATGTTCAAATCTGTAGCTGAGTGGATGACGCACTGTAAGACACATTGTAGCACCGGATTCTGTTAGCTACAAGATGCCGTTCCTTCGACTGTCTACGGTTCAGGAGCTTCAGTAGCTTTATTTATGTATGCGAAGACTGGGGATTCCATCAGCGGGACCCAGGTAGCCTATAGCCCAAATGTGGACTCAGCCCCACGCACACCCACGGCGGGGCTGGGTCAGATCTTTTCGCCAACTGACACTTGGCTGTGTAAGTGCTCTCCTGGAATAAGGGTAACAGAATTCGACTTACGGACCGCTGTCCAACCCATCCATAGTTTCATCGGTGAAGTAGAACAGGTTTAGGTTTGCTCGACTTCTCTCTTAGAAGTGTCCGACAGCGCTGAAGGGACTTTTTCTTTTGGCTGCAGGTATCTTAATTGGGGATTAATCTTCCGTCTAACTTAAGACCTGCTATGGCAGGCAGAGAGATGAATTGAGTGTGTTCGCTATCCTTTTTTCTACTACATCGTGGTCCATCTACTAGTCTTCTGGTATCTTTGCATGCTTCAAGAACTTAATAGGTAGCGTCGCAATGCCGTCAGAATGTGGCAGTGCCAACGATTTAATCTGGTCCTTGAGGGGGCCTAACCGGACTAGATAGATTACCCTCAAAGCTTTGAAGCAGTGTTCCTAACATTTGATTTTGTGGTTTTTGTGGGTTGCTTGGGCGACTCCACCTACTATTTCGAACACATCTGGTAAAGCGCGGTCATTCACAGTATATAACTCTCGTAAATATTTCGTTTGCAACTCAACATTTTCGATCTTCATCCCTTGTATAATTTACCATCATCTCCTAATTCCCTCAATATCATTCATAGGGGCGTCTGGAAAACACGTACTCCAAAAAGGAACCCAAGTAACATTCAACCTTACGGGCGAGTAGCGACGCGTTATTTTCCCGACGCGGCAGACTTCATACGCAAACAAATCGTTGCACGTTGAATCCTAGTTCAGATAGCGCACAGCTCCAAATTCTCCATTTCTCTTGACATTTCAGTTGGTACAAGGTCAAGTAGGAAGCATGTCCGGTCAATTTCGGGTCGACTGACGCAGTGAGTCTCCTAAACGGAGCAGTGACTACATCAGATGTTGATAGCGCTCATTCTTGTCACAGAACTCCTCACCTGCTGTCTTTAAGCCTTACACCCGCCAAAATACGCCTTCTGGCTCGAGCATTTATTGTTAAGGCCACGTTACATAGCGCACCCTCAACTACGCCCCCGGGAATCTATCCCATTTTATTCACAAAATAATTGGACTACGCTCCGACGTCCTCGCATTTACGTGACATGTACATCAAACCACACGTACCGTGAGATTAATGAAACCTCACATCCGGAAACACCGGCGGCCGGCTCAGATCCTTATGTGTTTCCACCATCCTGCTCACCCACATCTGTCCCAAATGCAGACCATTTTCGGGTGCCACCCACCCCCTCACAACCACCGCCACTTTCGGCACCACACCACTTTCTTCACCTCCTGCCGACGCAAATGACGTCACGTGTCAAAACTCTGAATAACCCACAGACGCAGCAAGTTGCACATCAGTCTTTCAGAGATATTCTTTACCCGTATTGAACCTTATACTCTACCTTCCGCCGTGGATTCAAACTTACCTAACCAACTGCTCACCCCTCTACCCCACTGATGAATACACCTCGACCTATTCCGAACACATGTCTAGCCAACTCTACTTCACCTACCCTTGCATTTCCCACCCATTTCCCTATAGTACCTAAATCCACTGTAAACGAAGTTATTGAATCCACACCTAGTATGGTGCGCTCACCAATGGACCTATCAGTTGTGCTGTTTGACGCTCGCACACTGCTGCCGAAATTCCATATTCTCCGTGCGATTATCGACGTTGTACAGCCAAGTCTGATCTGTGTGACCAAAACATGGCTCTCATTTGGGACCACAGACACGGTTTTCTGACAGGAAAACCCAAGAAGTTGAGGCTGTGAGGTACAAGGGGATGGAACGCATCATGCAGCGAGCTTTTCTAGATCACCTTATTTCGAGCAACCTGATATCTCCAGCTCAGCACGGATTTCTTCCACGCCGCTCTTGAGTGACAAACATGCTCGTGTTTATGGACAACTTAACCCAAGCCAAGGGCGAAGGACTCATATCGCATGCCATATTTTTCGACACATCAAAGGCAGTTGATAGGGTCCCACACTTCCCGCTGCACCACAAACTAGATTCTTACGGGATTCAAGGGAAAATCCTTCGCTAGATCAAGGCGTTTCTATCAGACAGATCGTATCCTGTGAGAATAGGCTCGCAGCGCTGGTCTCCATTGGAGTTCCTCACGGCTCCGTCTTGGGACCAGTGCTGTTTCTGATATACGTCAACTACCTTCCAGATGTTCTTGCGAGTCCACATCTAATTTTTGCGAACGACTTGAAATCCTGGAGTTTCAACGCCAGTGCCCTCCAAATGGATGCGGACGCTGCAGAGTAGGGGTCGTTGGACTGGTCCCTTCCTATGGATGAAGAAAAGTGCGTCCATATGTCATTCTCGGAGACTCAGCAGATGCTTTTGTTATGCATGTTGAAAAGGGACCAGAAAACATCATGAGGATAGGTGCTGGAAATGATTGGGCATCTCGGTTTCCTAAAACATGTCCTTCTCACTGCACCATGAGAAATCAGCCCAAAAGGCGTTCGCCATTTTACGGATGCTCCGAAGCACCTTGGGGCCTACGTCAGACTGCTCCTTGAAAACGCCAACCAAGTTGTCTACTCGGGACGCACGAAAGACGTCACCCTCATTGAGCGTGTCCAGCGGGCCGCCACGAGAATGGTTGCCGGCCTCAGATCCGTGGACTACGAAACGCGTCTCACGATGCTTGATCTCTTTCGCCTGGAGTGCCGTCGCCTTCAAGGAGACCTGATTCTTACCGATGTCCTGTTTTGAGAGAGCTTGGAAAACAGGTTTTCCACCGTTGACCCAGCAAACACGCGGCGAGGACATAATAAGAAAATTTTCAAGCTCAGAGCGCACACATTCTTTAGACAAAATTTTCCCCGTTGCGGGCAGTAGGTGCGTGGGATGACCTTCCCCCGACGGTTGCCCACGGCCCTTCTATAACTCCGTTTGAAGCACAACTGGACATTTGTTTATGCGAATCCTCGCGTTGGTAAGCATACTGTGGGCAAAAGCTCGATCCTGTGTATCAATCCGTATATCCGTGAATCCGTGAATGTTTCATCTATTCCAAATTAGAACTTTGTGCAACCCCAACTGATGATTCCAGCCAGAATGCATTTCAGAGGCCATCTGAATCTCCATAGAACAGACCAAACCGCACGTACTAGTAGGTTGCTTTTCCCCCCGCTTCTGTAACTGACCTGTCCTGTATTATGTCCACTGCACGCGCCCTTCCTCGTTCGTCTAATTTCGTGTTGGGTGACTTCAAGCTACTGGATATTTCCTGGTCTCCTATTTTTGGCCCGAGTCGTCACGTCTCATTGCTTGCCGAACTTAGTGTGGGGGGTTGTTCTAAGATCGTACGCAGCCCCACTCATATACAACATAACTTGGAACTAATATTGTCGGACGAGTGTCATCTGAATAGTAGTTGGTCCATGCTCGCCGGGTAGCAATTACTGCGTCGTTTCATGCAACGCGGTCAGGTATAGCGAAACTGTTCCCTCGAGTCCTTCCCCAGAAAGCCTCCATGCTAGTCAATCATTAAATCAATTCAGCAAAAGCCGACGATTCTTCAGGGCTGCCACTAGAGCGCGACCGAATGTAAGCAGCGTTCAGACATTTCATAGAAGAATGTTCAATACTGATGAATGTCTATTTAACGCATGGATCAATGTCAGGTAGCGCCCTTTAAATGGCGTGGAGCCGTGGTAACTTCTGCACTCACTTGTTGTAATAAGGCTGTTGTGTTCCTTGTAGGTGGGTTCTTTTCTGGCACCGGGCCCAACAGTGGGAACAGCAGTCAGATATAACACCTACCAATGCTGACTCAGTCATATAACACAAAATGGTGCCCGAATTTGAGTTTGAAGATCCCGCTTCTTATCTGTCCAAAAATACAGTTATCGTATTTACTTATATGCCATCGATTTTGCCAAGTTTATGCTCCCTGGAGGAGAGTTTGTGGATGCCCAGTGGTCATAGGGCCTGCGTTAAGCCCGAGGGACAGCAGCCTCATGTGGCGGGCGCGAAGTTGTGACTCAGCGAACCAAGCTTCCTAGAGGATAGTCGTTATTATATCTATCCGGCGACACCAGAGCGTCCATGAGACCACGGGCTGAGGAGCTTCAATCTTCTCAATTCGTGCAAGGCGGATCGTCTGCCGGAAATGACAGGTTGGCGAGGGGCATCAGTGACAACATTTCCATCACAAATGCAGACAAAAAACTGCTTTTTGTAGTTTCAACACAAAGCGGTCGTCAAATGGTGGGTGAAAGGGTGGAAAAGTTTACAGGGTATGCATATAAAATTAAACAGCGTCTTTATAGCCTGCGGAAGACTAGGATCAGACCTAGTGGTAAGTACAGAAATCTAAATTGCACCTGCGAGGCCGCCAGTCAGAAGGCACGGACCGTCGTACGGCTTGGTGGGTATAGAGTCCTAATAATGTTGATGTTTATTCGCAACCGCCGGGTAGTATACCGTCAGGCATGCTCATGATGTTACGGCCAGAAGAAAGCATGACTGGCGGGATTTGTGGGTACTAAGGATTACCAGGAAAGGGGGCAGAGTATAAAATAGTGGGTATTATTCAATGTAGGCGCCATTGCCCCTGAACCGGCACAGTCAGGGAAGCACAGTGGCTACTGTTTTCATTTTTGGTGAAAAAGTGAGCTAAAGCAACATACAGTTTTAGCATTTGAAGGCCGCGGGCAGAAATAAAGCGGAGGGTATCCTGCCTGACATAAAATGAGAGGGCAGAAATAAAGCGGAGGGTATCCTGCCTGACATAAAATGAGAAAATATCAAAGCTCAGTAAATCAGGAACCAGAACAACGCATCGGGTAAAGCAACGTGACCTAGAAACTGCAAATACCGATGGAGCCTCGTGACCTCGGACCGCTGTGATTATGGTCAGGGTAACAATCATTGGAGAGATTAGCAATTCGGGTGAATAGTAGCAGAGTTCTCAGAGGGATGGCGTACAGTGAAAATGTAGAGAACCAATGGCGTCGTAGATACAGCGGAGTCCGTTATAAGAGTTCTTTGGAAGAGTTGGTGTAATCGCACAAACCGGAACAAACTGTGCAGAAATTATTGACTTTGTGAATGACATAGACTAAAAATTGACCAAAATGATTAAATTCGACCAAAAGGCTAAAGCGATTAAAATGATACGCCCTAGATGGGGCTAGGGCCAAGTGAAGAGTTGTTTGTATTTGCACTTAACTGAACGAGTGAGCAGAGGGTACGGACAAGAGTTGGAAGGGAATAGCTGCGGATGTGCTATCAAACGGGAGTATTGCGGTGCCGTGCCATCATTGCAGTGGCATACTTCGTTTTCTATATAGCCCGATGACAGACGCCGTATTTGAGGCTACTGAACTCGTATGCGCAATTCCGTGAGCACTGAGATTTCGATGGTTAGCCTACGGAATCCGCAGGGGTGGCATGAAGCATGTTTTCTTTAGTCCGGTTGAGGAGCCTTTGTAACTGTAACATTATAATTACGCCTGACGGTGTGCCATCCGAAGGTTGGGAATAAAAATTATTATTGTTTTTGTTGTATGTAATGTTGCACATGGTAATTAGCTTCGAGAGTGTAAGCGCCCTGGCGCACTGGCTCACATAAGACACGTTCTTTAGATTCTTCAAGCAAACAAAATCAGGAAAATAAACTTTCGTTAATCTCGCAATCTAATACGAGAAAGCTGTTTTCACTAACACACTTCCTAACGGGATTAACTATAAAATACTTATCGGCAAAACTTTGCTCAGACAAATCATAAGCAAGTGTCAGATCTACAAACCGCCGGCAGACTGGGAGAAGCGAAACAAGGGGCTAAGGCAGACATATAATTCCGGTCGTGAACGCTTGAACGCATTGCAAAACGGTGGTTATCGGAAATGGAGATTCACAGCAAGTGTTGCGAGACGATGGCGGAAAAATCCTATGAGGTGATGCTTGGCAATAAAAGGCTCGCGATACCAAAACCTACCGAAATATCAATCGAATGATAAGTGCCGCATGGTACAATGTCATCTTCCCGAGAAACACCATCCCAGGCTCATCATGATCTGTTTGCACCGGCCGGTACTAGGGTCTGGTGTGTAAGGTTGGTTGTGTTTCCACAGAGGTTTCCGTGTCTTGGGCTGCGTCATGCATGGTCTAGCCCTAGTTTGCCTATGCAAAAGTAGTAAACCGGGTCTCTTGTAATAGAACCAACCTTGGGTGGCTGCAACTTCGGTGTCGTCACCAAAAACGTCATATGTGCGCCATAAAAATACACCGTGACAGCAGCTCTCCAAAGGAAGGGCTTGCGGCAAAATTTGAATAGGAGAATGATCCCAAGCCCAGTACCCAATTCTGCAGGTCTACACCCCAGGGTTCAAACCGCTCACAATCACAACCGCTCTAAATTACATAAACACCGGGTTTGAGACCCGGAGCTGTCCCGGTAGGAACACACTGGGCACACTTAATGAGAGGTAGGTCCGTCTTGGCTGCCTAATGGTGGACTTGGCTGATGTATTTAGGCAGCAGCACTCTGTCGGCTCTCAAAGAGCACCAGAAAGTTATGATAATATTACACCGCGAACGACACTTATTTATCCAAAAGAGTAGAGGTCGTTTTTGGACAAACACGCTTGATGAGCGAAGTCTTTTTTAGTTTCATGATGCCTTCTGTCCCATTGAAATGGGAAGGAGAACCCTATTCAATCGATTCTCTTGAGAAGCATGCTTAGTTGTTGGCAACCGCGAAACCGAAATTTCAAGGTCAGGTGTTGTGAAGACGTTCTTTTGATTATAGCCCACCCATAAGTGCTTAACTATTTTTTATACTAGGTAACTATTTTTTCACCAGAGATCCCCTAATTATCTGCGGTCACGGAGTTAATCAGGTCTCCCTTCTTCAGTAGGCTTAATAGGTGTCAGTTCCCAACGCTTTTAACCTTCTCCTGCATAATCGTCCCTGACGGCGTGCCGCCATTTGCCCATCAATTTAGTTATTCCGGAACATCAACTTTTCCACCAACTGATTTTTCGTTCCTGACCGGAAACGCCACTCATCGCAAAGTTTACACTACTACTCCTGTCCTCAGCCAGAAGTATTTCATTATGACACCGCTCCCGTCTTTCATCCTCTAAGCGCTTGCCAGACCCCGAACCCCCATCAACTATCTCATCTCCATATCCAAAGAGGCGGCTCGCAGCCAGAAGACCCAGCTCCCAACCCCCACA